ATGGAATATTCAAAGAGTCTGGTTCATAGATATTTATCTGAAAAGATCTTACTTTTGCAGATCTCATACTCAATATCACTATCATATTCACAAGATTCTCTCTAGTAGGAATTTTAGACATATCCATGTTCTGAATCCTTTTACTCACATTTGCTAAGAAGAAATGTATAGAAATTCTATTTGGATTAGCCATTCACTTTTTAGTTTATTCTTTCTGAATTTTATTAGAATATTGAATAAGGTCCTTATTTTTGGCAAATTCTTTAATAATTGCAAAATCTACATCACCTACTAACTTTATACGGAATGTTGACTGATGTAAAAAACCAGCAATGATTTTATTTTCATCTTTATTTTTTAGACCTAAGTCTAGATGATGGATAAAAATATCCATAACATTATCAGCTGTAGCGTAAAATTTCACTCTTTTCTCTATAGTGAGGTTTTTCTTTCTTTATCCAGCATGAAAGCATCTATCTTTTCTTTACTAAATGAATGTCTATTATTAATACTGTTGGAAAGGGTAACTTTAACATACCTATAGGCTATCCAATCAGTAAGCAAAGCATCAAGTTCAAGAGCATGTTTGCTTAATTGTTTTGAAGTGGAATCAACTGACAAATTATGCTTTTCTAGAAACTACTCTAAGACTAACACAAAGTTATTAGCTTTAGGTTTTCAGGTCTTTAGGGTAGCTATTTGGTAATCATATCAATACTAACTATTATATAATTATATTATGTGAGAAAAAATTCAATTCAAAAAATTTCCTCAGAGCTATACTTCTTCAAAAAAGGAAAATATCAAAGATAACTTTTGAGAAGGTTAAGGAAGCAAAAAAAATGATATAACTTATACTTTACCATTAAGGTGTTTCGCAGATTGGTATAATACATTTTTGAATATTTATAATAAAAAATGAAAATAAGTTTAATATACACTTCTCAGTCAAAAGTATTAGACCATGTAATTTTCGATACTCAAATTGATGTAATTCTATCGATCATAACTTTTGATAAAATGCATAAAAATGAAACAAATTTTTTTCTTACATAGTTAAAAGCTTTAATATTTGAATATAAATATATTTTTTTAGTGCTAAAAATCTAAAAACTTATTGAATTTGAACAAGGTGAAAAAATAAGCCTCTAGAAAGGTGTCTATAGCAAACAAAATATTATAGATATTCTTGTACATTCTATCATTTTTTATTGTTTCAAAATGATGCTCATTATTGAATTTGGTGTTGTCTTCATGAAAATTATGATATAAATTATTTAATTTCCACTGTAAATTCAGGAAAATAAGATATAATAATATAGAAGAATTTTATGAAAAATAATATTAGAGTTTTAATTCAAGTTTCTGGTAAATTGTAAGTTTAAAAAAATAATCTTTTGCCTTTACTGATAAGTTAAAAACTGAGTTAGAATATATTTTTAAGACAAAATGCATCTGTTCATTAGGCAAAGCAATTAAGCAATATATAGAAAATATAGTAATTCAATCTCAAATATTTTATAGTCTGCATAACCTCTTGACTTAAATACAATTGAATATCTATAGAATATTTTGAATATAAAGATTTATAAACATAACTATATCTAAAAATTCTTGGAGAATTATTGGTTGTTTTTAAGGGAAAAATAGAATGAAATAGAAAAACATTTTAGAAAATTTATATAAAGTGTGTTGAGAAAGGTTTAAGCTGTAGTAGATAGTAATGGTTATCTAAATAAATACTAATTATTTTTATAAAAAGTATGTTTTTATGAATAAAATAAAAAAATTTTTACTTATTAAAATTTTTTATAATTAAAAAATTAAAGTTGGCTATTAAATCTAAAAATTGCGATAATTTTAAAGTGATCCAATACTTTTGATCAGAGAGTATATGTCTCTATATGAAATTGTTAAAATACTTAAGTTAAATTGTGACTTTAATTTAATTTATAAATACATAATTGAAATTTAGATTCTATCTGAAGTTCAATTTCAGATATCTTAATTTCAAAAACTCAAATTTCAACTTCAAAAGCTTCAAACAAAAATCAGTTTTATCATAATACATAAATGTTAGAATGTATATTATATTTTATAAAATAAAATAACTTGATAATAGAAAAAGCAATATGTAGTATTTCTTGGATATTTTATAATTGAAACTTAATTATATATAACTATTTATATACTCCTATTTGGGTTTAATTCTTTCTTTACCTTTAATTTGTTTTTTTAAAAATGAGAATAATAATACATATGTCATATAATAATTAAGCATATTATAGTACTTCATTCACAAATGTAAATTAGTTTTTTTTTAAAATAATTCAACTTATGATGTATTTTAATATCCTAATCATAAATATTAATGATAACGAATAACTTGTTACCCATATCATATAGATATAGATAAAAAAATAATTATTTTATAGAATCTTATATTAGTATTGTGAATTATTATGTATCATTATATATTAAAAATTTTTTCAGTTTCTGTAGGTTTAATGTAAAAATTCAGATGTGTAAAATCATATTATTATAATAATTAAATAAAATGTAATAATAGGCAATCTTATAAAGCAATAATAATGTGATAAATTTATTACAATCACTTCATTTTAAGCATAAGTGATAATGATTTATAATTTGCATTTTTTTAAAAAAAATGATAAAATGTGATAAAATTTCTTAACTAATTATGAACAATTCTTTTTATCAAGATTATATCTAATTTATACTCAATACAGTCAATTCTCTCTAAATACATCTTAAATATACACACTGTCTGGTAAGCTTGAATCTTAAATACTAAATATATTCATTATGTGTTATACATGCAAGAAGATTTTTTAGTCCTTTCATATGATAGACATATTCTCTAAATGTATAATATATAATGATTATTTCAGATAAAATGATTAGATTTAATTTTACTTAAGAACAATTTTTTGAAAAAATTTTTGATTTGGTCCCTTTTCCTAGCACTCACTCCGTTTTTGAATTTCTGTCTCACATAAATCATTTTTTACTTCTCAAAATCATTTATGTAAGTTTTAAAGTTAAACGGTTCAATAGTTTTAAGAAGATCTCTTCAAACATATTGTCTATTATATGCTAATTTTAATATATAAAAGTATTATAAACAATTTTAATATGAAAAATATATTGAACTGGTTTAAGGTTTGTAATTTTATTGTACTTTATTTTATTTTTAAAAAGCTTTTCTTTTATTATTTAAAAAACATAATACTAAAATAAAAATTTCTTTATAGCTATTTCATATTTTATTATAATAGAATATTAATTAAATATAATAGTATATTTAAATTTTTTATTAATGGATAGAACTATTTAATGTATCAAATTTTTTTGTATAATAATTTATAGTTTTCAAATTAAAATTATCTATTTTGGTTTCTTAATAATTGTTTTCTTTCTCTCTATATAGTCTATAATTCAAAGCAGAAAGAATTTTATTTTATTCTCTCTATAATATATTAATTTTAAATTAATAAAAAGTATATTTGCCACTACTTTTTCTTATTATTTAATAATTGTTCTTCAATTTCTACATATATTTTAGTGTTTTATATTAATATTGTCTATTTAGCTAAAATGGAGTCATTCAAGGAAAAGATAAATTACTTACTTGAATAAGGTTATTATTTCCGCCAAGTTGTATTTAAATTCAAAGCATTTATTAAGAGCTTATCACCATAAAATTTTATAATTTAAAAAATTTTTTTTATTTAAAAATCGATTTTTTTGTATATTACATAAAATCCAACTGAAAAACACACTCTCAACCTAAGAGAATCTTCTTCCTCACATAAAATTACATATATTTTTGTTGTTAAAGTTGTATATTTGTATCCACTTGTAAGAAGATCTTAAAAAAACTTATATTTCGCGTAAATGTAAAAAAAAAGATAATTGTCTAAAAGGAAAATCAATGGTTATAATTGATTGAGCACATGATCTATCAATTCTTAATTAATTAGTAACTCAATTATAGTTACACGAAAATTTTTTAATATGAAAATGATCTGCGTGCGACATGTCCGGCCTTCACTACGTATGGAATAACAAGTAATGATAAATTTAAATTTTTTTTAAATGTAATTTATTTACTCGGTTTTCTTAATTTTGTTAAAAAAAAAGTTCGCGGATATAAAAAAATAAAAAAAATATACAAATTATTATATAATCGTGGGTTTTTATTTTTTTATTTACTTTTTTTAAAAAATTTTTTTTATAATCGCGCGTTCTAATATTTTATTTTTTTTTTTAATATTTTTTAATTATTTTTTAATTTGCTTTGCATGCATATATATATATCCCCTATATTTTTATTTTTATTTTTCGAATTTAATTTATTTAGAGTGTTCTTAAGCACCTAACTCATTGGATCGATCGATCATACTCGATTAATCGAAATCGAAAATCGAATCTTAAGAGCCGAATCTTGGAGAAACGATAATCCGATTCTCAAATCGATTCTAATATCGAAATCGATTCCAACCTAGTTCAGCGATGTGCATGGATGAACAATAGGTTTGCATTAAGAACTCTCGCAATGCCAAATGGGAAATTAATAACTAAACTAGTTCGAATTTAATAATGCCTGATTAAGCGGAACGAGGTCTAAATTTTTTTAAAAAAAAAATAAACAGAAAAAAAAAGGAGTTAGATATTTATTTTTATTCTTACAATAATTAACCAGAAATTAAATATTCGTTCCCAATTTTTTATGATTTGATTATGAATTTTGAACATTGAATTTCAAAACTCACATATGCTAAATTATATTGTTTTGTATCACGCTTGTTTACATATAATCAGTATGGCTGATTTATGTATGTTAATCCAAATGAAAGCAAATGGGTAATCTTTCCTTTATGAGTAGAGGAAAAAGTCATTTGCATGTGTTTAAATAAATTTCCTTCTCTTATAATAATAACTGTTACCTTTCTGCTTGTCAGAAAAAAAAGAAAAGAATGACTCTTACGATGTTTCTCACTTCGCTCACTTTAGCAACAACGACAAATTTAATCTTGATTATTCAATTATTAATAATAACATATGTAGCGAGATATTATTACAAATATTTTACCCGTCAATCACCTCTTCCTGGTCCATTCCCGCTCCCGTTGGTTGGCAATTTATTTCAAGTTGGATTAAATCCAGCAAAATACGCAATGGATCATCACCATGAATTCGATAAAATGTTTGAAATTTGGGTCGGAAGCAAACGATTTATATTTCTCTCTCATCACTCGTTAACTGAAAACATCTATATTCCAAACGTAAATAATAAATTCTTTGCAAGAATTCAAATTCCATTTTTGGAAAATATCGGTTTACAACATGGTTTAATTTTTAATAATAATTATCAAATCTGGAAACGAAATAGGAAATTCGTTGTACAATCACTAATGTCACCTAGATTCCTTAGACGATTCACTTTGCTTGCACAATCATTATTTAATGAAAATGAAAGTTTCTGGGATAAGAAGGAATATCATATTGATTTCGCTAAATGGACCAAAAATTTTACAACCGACATCACCTTAAGAACCACTACACGTAGACCTTCATATTGCCTTAATACATTCGTATTCGGTGATCCAACCAATTCCGAAGAAATTAAAAAATCTATTAAATTCATTCATGCGACTCAAACATTTTTTGAGAACATCATGTTTGAAATATTCGTTCCTAACGTGCTTAAACATTATTTTCCTGGATTCTATCATATGAATAAGATGTACATAAAGAATATGAATTGGTTAAATGAGACCATTTCTGATATTATCAAGAAAAGAAGAACGGAAATCGAGAATTATGATGAGGTAGGTTCGGATTTGATAGATATTCTATTGACGCTAAACACTTCACGCGATTCGAACGGATATAATGAAGATGAAACACCAATGAGTGATCAAGAAGTTCGTGCTACCATCATTGAAGTTAGCGCGGCCGGTATTGATACAGTAAGTTTAGACATTTTTTATCAACTTTGAGTAAAATCCACTGTAAATAATTTTTCCTCTTATCCTTTTTATCATTAGACCGCAAATACATGCTGTTTCGTAGTATGGCAATTAAGTCATCATCCTAGAGTTGTCGCACGTTTTCGAGATGAAATGAGAGAAATCCTAGGGGATGACACAACACGACAGATAACCTATGAAGATTTAGAAAAATTCACATATCTTGACGCTATCATTAAAGAATCTCAACGAACCATTCCAGTTGTACCATTATCAATGCGAACGTGCGTAGAGGGTAGTGTTATTGGAGGAAATAGTTGGGAGCCTAATACAGTTTTCTTTATTGATCATGAACAAATTCATAAATCACCTGATTGTTGGGAAAATCCTGATAAATTTATTCCTGAAAGATTTTTAAAAGGGTCTGATCATGAAATCGTCAAGAATAGTTTCATTCCTTTTGGAGGTGGTATAAGAATTTGCCCGGGAAGACATATGGCCATGGTAGAATTGAAAACCTTATTGATTTTAATATATAGAAAGTATGATATTGAATTGGTTGATAAGGTTTCGAAGAAACCGAAAGTGATATTTATTGGTACCAAAACTTGCACTGATTTGAAAGTCATCGCACGCTCTAGAAATTATAATAATGTATAAAATAGGACGGGAATTGGGTTGATGGAAGCAATATGTATTATATTCATTGCTTAATACTTGTATTTATTTGAAGTATATATTAAATATAAAGGAAAAAATTTTAGTTAATTTTTTTATTTATTTTTCGTGAATCCAACAATATTATATAAATTTATCACGAATTCAATATTCTATCCGTGTGAATATTTATTTAAGTCCCAAGTTTTTAATTGACCTATTCCAATAGAGGCCTGTAACGGGCGTGCGGGAAAACGGCCTGGGTTCAAAGCACCAACTCGGATTTTGTATAATTCTGGCAAAAATATAATTAAATTAATTAATTGTATATTTAACGTTGCTGATCATTTTAATTTTGTCGCGTTACTTTATTGAAATATATTTATTAATAGAAAAGGAAATAAAATGCCAAATTAATCAAAAAAAGGAGTAATAAAATGTCAAGAAAAAAAAGCAGAAAGGGTGAAGTTTAGCTGTATTTTAATGAAATTATTGACAATCAATAATAGATTACACAGTGAACTAAAATAATTTTTCTCGGTTTTTATTTTCAATAAAAATTTGATATATATATATTTATATATATTATTGGTATTGAATATTAAATTTCGCAACGACAAATAGCATAGCATAAATTAATTATAATGGATTATTATTAAGTCCGGGTCGGGTTGGACTTCAAAATTTGAACTTGTGCAGGCCTTAATCTTTAATAATATAAAGTTACGAAATGTTACCTAGAGAAAGGTTCGGTATGATTTTATTAAAAAATTATTACAGCCTTCAGCTCGCGTTCTGTATTAGGTTTTAGGAAAAAAAAAGAATCTAAACTAAATTTTCTCAAAAATCGAAACGAAGTCTATTTAGAATCAACGCTGAGGGAAGGATAAGTTAAAATATATGGCCGAAATGACATGATGACATATAATCCTGATCTGACAGTTGGGTCCGAAAAATGATAGAAATATCGGAATTGACAGAATGACGCACAAATATCGTGGCATAGAATGGCGCAGCTTACAGGAAAAAAAAACTATTTCATCTCATCATCATTATTTTCCTAACTCAAACTTAAAAACTCCAATAAAGAAAGAGTGTTATTCGTATTCAAGAGAGTTTGCGTTTTAACAAAATGATTTCCGTTCTCCATGAGTGATATTAGTCGTTGGCAAAATGACCCCACTTCGTTCATAGACTACACAAATTCAATTTTCTACATCAAAATTTGTATTTGCCCGTTGGAAAAACAAACACATGCAAATGAATGTTCATTGTGAAAGTATACGTCTATTGTAGAAATTTACTTTATAGACCAAATGATGTCAAATATTCGGGAACCAAAAAAAAAAACAAATTCGATTTCAATGCAATGACAAAGTATCCGTGAAAGAAGTGTAATTTTGAACGCTTTATATAACTTGTTTTATTGATTTAAATTATATTTAGTACATATTTTCCCTTCTAAAAAGCTATAAGCAGAAAAAAATAACATTGTATAAAGTACCTTTAATAAAACGAAATATATATAATAATACACAAATTCTTCGTTTTCTTTATCAACTGCTCAAAGTGAAAAATTTTATATATTTTTTCCATGCTTTACTATTTTTATATTTCATTTTACGTAAAACTTTGGACCATTCCGATGGTGATAATTGTTTCATATTGTACGTTTCAGTTGCAATATACTCAATTTCCCATATTGCTCTGCCTATCACATTAGCCTTCTCAATGTCAAGATAATATTGAATATAATCAGTCAATTCGCCAAACGTTCCTAATGAAGTTGAATACCTGTACTCTCGAATTCCCGAGTTGTGAACTATAAATAATTAAAGTTAAGTTATAATATGATTGATTTGTGACGATTTTATTTATTTGGAAGAACCTAATTAAATTTACTTGCCTGGAACTATTGAAGGTGCATTATACATAACTAAGACTATATTATTGACCGATTTCTTTGAAGGGCCTTCATCCCTATCAAGGTAGTGTAAATTGTATTTGTCACGAAAATTATCGGATTCTGTTAAAAAGGTCAAAGCATCTAGATTTGTATGACCTACAGTATATGAAAAGAAATTAATTCATTAAATCTAAATAATATACAAGACATAATGTTATTTTCTTGGTACATACCAGTGAAGTGACCGTATACAACATCAGAAAATTTCCCGAGCAATTGTATGAATTTATTTTGGCATTTCGGAAGAAACGATGGTTCACCTAAGAAAAATATTACATTCCCTAAATACTCATTGAAAGAAAAGAATCTTTTTTTTAAAAAAAAAAAAAAAAAAAAAATTATAATTTTACCATCAGAATCCAAAAGTGGAACATGTTGTGAAATATAAACTACTCTTCCTTCTTCCCTCATATTCTTCAATTGATCTTCAATCCATTTCAATTGAATTGATCCTGGGGATTGTGTATGATGGCAATCCCTTATTTTTTCATTATTTTCGTAGAAATACAGAGAATTTAGGCTTAAAACGCTGAGTTTTGCATTTACATCTTGTCTATAGTACCCTCCATTTGCAAAATCAGATGTTAGATTTAAATTTAAAGGCGCCCATATTTTAGTCAAGTTGCCGAAAAGTGTATTTGTTCCACCTTCAAGCTGATTATGTGCTATTCGTTCACAAAATGAAATTAGAATAAATAAAGAAATTGTTGTACTTTCACGTCTTTAAAGAAAACTTACTCCATTCGTCATTGTTTCCTAATGTGGGGATCTGTTTTGAAGTCAAACGTTAGTTAATAAGACTGATTTATTTTTGTCTTTCATCAATATTATGAGGTTACTTACAAATTTAGTTTTACTTAAGTTAAAAGTTTCTGTAACATATTTGACAATAGCTTCATGACCCAAGATCACATCTTCTTTTAAAAAAGGAAAATTAGGATCCCTATCATGCCTCAAAGAATCACCGGTATAAATTACAAAATCAACATCTTGAAAGTTTTCTTTAAGGAAAGAGAATGCTGAATCTACCAATGCGAGAGGTGAATCGCATTTTGAACCAACGGTACCAAATTGTCCTGATTTATTTTTCTTTAATTTTGAGGCATAAAGACGACAATAACTTTTTGGGTTCCTATTGGGAAGATAATAAGGGTCAAGGTGGATGTCTGAAGAAGTAAAAAGAAATGTTGAGCCTAATTCGAATTTATGTATTCAGAAGGAATCAATATAACGATACAAGTAATGAATAAATTTATTCACCGGAAATGTGCAAAAATTTCCCCGACATTTCTGCATTGTTAATGTCGTTTATTCGAAAAGTATGTTGTTGCGATGCTTCAATAAATCTCGTCATATATGTCCCAATTAACCACGGTAAAATATTAAATGGTGTCCGCATTTTCGTCAAGTATTTTGTTTAATAATGTATTGCGATTTTGTTTTCAAGTTACAGAATCAAAAGAATAAAAAAAAAAAAAAAAAAAAATGAATTCATACCAAATTTAAAGATTGTTTGATTCCGAATTGATAATATGTACGAGGGGATGATCTACAAGACCCATGCATAAATCATTTGAAATTTTAATTTTGATTACCATAACAATTAAAAATCTTATTTGTTGGTCTTTACTAAAAACGATGTCTATAAAGAGAATCTCATATCTAGATGATCTACGTCGTTATTTTGGCGCATTCGCTTGCAGTTGATTTAGAAATAGATGGAGATTTGAACCGGTTTTTGTTTTCGAAAACCGGTTTTAAGCCTAAGCCAAAAATCTGACCCGGTTGCATCAGGGTTTATGTAATATCGAATAGTCAAATCGAATTAAACCAGTTTGGTTGGACAAAGATTACAAATGTGACGCAGTAGAAATGTTGTCCAATTATAAAATGAATTTTAACGTTTAAAATTTTTTTGTTTGTATTACAATAGTTGATTTATTTATTTTAAATAAAATTATGATTCGATGTCGTAGATAGAAATACCAAAATTTTTATCGATGTTAGCATTTTCCAAATAAAAACAAATTCAGATTATAAGAATTCAAACTAAACCTATTATTTATTGCAACCGGATTAGCAAAGAAACGGTTTAAACCGAATTTAAAACCGGATTGATACCAACCTCAAATTAGAGATAAATTATCAACCCATCCATTACATGTAAACATTTTATCACGTGACTTCGAAATATAATTTTATTAAATACTGCACTGTTGTATTTTTTAAATGTAAGCAGAAAGGTTTTTTTCATTAATAATAGTTATGATGAAAGTGTTATTCAATAAATTTAATTAATTAGTGTTGCCTCACCATCGGAGTAGTGGGTTGGAACCGGATTTATTCAAAACCGGTTAGACCGAATTTAAAACTGAAGTACCTATCAGTCATAGGATAAACGATTTTCATATTTTTTGTTACACAATTCTTTTTCAAATATGTTTTTTATATTTAAAAAAAAAAAAAATTTCTTTAGTTAATTTTTATGAGTAAAATAAAGATAAATTGTTAGATATTTTCATAGTTAAAAGTTAAATATGAACCAAGTTTTAATAATTATTGTCTGAAGTGAAGCGGAATTTCATAAATAAATTTAGTGTACATACATCGCTACGCTTCGGACAATCATTAAAATTATAATGAAAAAAAAATTTAATTATCATTAATGTTAATAATATAAGTGAATAATTAAGAAATGAGGGGGGTTTTTTTTCCAAATCTAATAATTACTTTTATTTGGGCGTACTATATTTTATAAAATTTAATTTTTTTTTACGCAAAATTTATGCTTTAATTTTAACATTAATGTTAACGCTGCCCAAGAATTAAAAAGAAACTACCCCTGTATAAGTTCGTATTGACTGCAGTTTTAGCAAAATGAAAGTTTGAAATAATAACTTAGTTAAAAATATAATTAATATAAATTCTTAAACAATCAGAGCATATATATTCCTATTATCTATATTATGGTTGTTAAGAATATATTAATAAATCATATTAGACGGATCTTCTTTTTTTTATGCTTTTAATATAAATGATCGATAAAAAACGATCGATACTATTATGAAGAGACATTAGACCCCTGCAATTTATGACATTTACTTGCGGCGCTTAACGTTAACTTTCGCAATTACTTTTTATTAAATTATAAAAATATTAATCGCTATATCTAATTAATTAAAACTATTGCAAAATAATAATCGGAAAAATAAAAATAAATGAAAACATATTAAAACAACGAAATTAATGAATTACAGCATAAAATTATTGATGTTATGATGTTAAAAGCGATAATATCGCAAGGAAAGTTAAGGTTTATATATAAATAAAGGAAAGCGAACTGTGCTAAAAAGAACTTGTTAAAATTCCAAAAGAAACCCAGCATATATATGGGAGTCGGTCAGTAGAAAAGGGGAAATCCAAAAATTTTTTATTGGTTCACTCTACTGATCATGGTTATGTGAACAAAACTAGCTTAAAAAACTAAAATTTGTAGATTTCCTCCTCTTCTATTGACCACCCCCATATATTAAATTTTAATTAGATTCATAATTATCGAAGACGATTTATGAGCCGAAAATTATCTAATATAACAATGCAAATATTTATGCTATTATCATAATCAATTTGTTCTAGCCATTCTTGGTTTACTTGATTTACTTCTCTCTTTTTACTTCCAATGATACTTTACAGTAATTACTCCTTAAAAACTGACCAATCACAAAAATCGAGTTACGAACATATGATTCATAACATGATTTTATAGCAAAACTCCCATATACGATATACGCCGAAAATGCTAATTTGCGTGGCCTAATTCTTGCATTCTCCAATTTATTCATTTTAATAGATTATTAGTATAGTGTTGGCCTTTTGGACTAATGGATCATTACTATTGGACTAATGGATTAGTTCCATTAATATTTGGACTATTAGACTATAGACTTCGTCCAACAACTATGAATTTACATATATTGTAATAATTAATAAAATGTATATTATGTAAATCATTTTTATTGATATTTGTTAGAATTTTATTAAATTTATTTAATATAAAATTTGACAAATAATTAGGTTCCCTAAACTCACAATATAAATATCTAGATGTTTCCATCTAGAATTTTGATCTCTAGTAAATGGAGGTAAATTTGAAATGTTTGTAATATTAATTTCAAGGTCTTTGTCACCTAAAAAATCAAAGTCAGGTCAGTAGGATCGTTCTAGTTGAACGAATTTATTATTGATTATTCAAGAAGAACGATTACAAATTTGACCAAAATTATAGTAAATAAAATTATAATTTATCAAAAATTATGTAATTATAGTCCATTTAAATTGGAATTGGACTGGACATCTCTATTAAGTCCAAAATCCATTAGTCCATTATTTGGGAATTGGATAAGATCCAATTCTAACACTGCATATTGGTGATTTAGATCATATGATTTACTATTTTCGTAACTTGAATTTCTATTCATATATTTTAATCAATTCATTAAATATTTTATTAAAAAGAATTTATATTATTTATTTTATTATAAAAGTTATTTAATAAAATTAATTTAATTTATTTAGAAAATTGCAAAATTAAAAAATATACCAATCTAATTGTATTTAAATATTTGAAATATTATAATCTAATTCTAATAATATTAAAAATTAAAAGCAATAAAATAAAAAATTTAAGAAAGATTTTATTCTTATTAAAAAAAAATCTAAAAAGATTTTTTAAAATAAAATATTACTTGACAAATTATTTGAAATATTTTTAAAGTTCATAAATAAAAATTAAAAATTGCTTTAAATATATATTTCTTAAATTATTAGTTAATAAATAAACTAATTAATTTAAAATAATTATTAATTTTAATTAATCATAAAATATCATTTTTTAATCATATAAAGTTGTTAAAATTTTAGTGTAATCTATCAAAAAAAGACTAAATAACTTATTTAAATTATTATATTTATATAATTAATAAATACAGCTCCTAGCAAAATAAATAGCGGAAAGTTTTTTTTGAATAATAAAAGTTTTTAATAAATAACTTTCAAAATTTTTTTTATTATCAAATGCTTTTGATTAAGGAATTATACACTCAAAAAATCAAAATATAAAAAGTATTCTCCTTCTCTGTCAATCTGGATTTAAATACAAGTTAAAATACTAAAAAATTAGAAAGTTAGCCTTTCTTCTTATTAATTTAACTTCATGCTTTCTATTTTCTACTTCTTTAGTAGAATATATTATTTCTATTATAAAACATTTAGCTGAACATTTATTTATTAGTAAATGAAGCTTATTAACATAGTAAAATATTTTGTAATTTTAATATTAATGATCAAATATACAAATTTAACCTTATTTTACAATTGCAAAAATTTTTTCATATTAAAATATACATTGTAAATTTCAAACATACATACATAGCATTCAGATTAGTAACATATATAAAATACTATGTAATTGTTTATACAAATTTTACAAAAAAATGTTGATTATATAGTAAAAGATTGCACTGCCATTTTTTTGCCAAGGACTGTATCTTTCAAATGAAAAATCAGGTTATATCAATGATGAAATAGATAATAATCAAAATATGAAGGGTGAGAAAGATAATAGAAAGGTAATTAAAAAATAAGAAAAATAATATTGAATTTTGGTTTGAGTTTATAATAGTATCAGTAAAATAAAAATTAAAATTTCTGAACAAAGATTAGAATTAGAATGAGAAAGAATGAATAATGATTTCAAACTTCAATTACAAAAGTTGGAAGTTGAGAAGCAAAAATGGAAATATGAATAGAAACAATCAAAAATGCTGTATGAATTAACAATGAAAAAATTAGATTTACAATTAAAGCAATATAATAAATAATAATAATAGTTAGTAATAATAATTAGTAATAATAGTTAATAATAATAGTAATAATAATAGTTAATAATAATAAATAATAATAATAATAAGAAATAATGATAAAACTTAAATTTTCTTTATATTTATTAATAACTGCTTATTATTTATTCTAATGATGTAAATAATTTTCTTATAACCCATTCTCGTTTTACTTCTCCAGCTCTTTTAATTCATCATGATCATTATTATAATTATTTAATTCATTATTATCAATAAAGTTGTTATCATTTTGTTCTTCCCATATATCATTAGCTAATTCTAAATAATTGTGTAAAATAATAGCACAATTAATTAAATTGATTGCAATTGAAATTTTGTTAACAGATATTTCTCTTACTCCCATAAATCTATTTTTTAATCTGCCAAATAAATGTTCTACTACAATACGATATGATAAAAAATTTTGGTTAAATCTTTTTTGTTTATTATTAGGTCTACTGTAAGGTTTTATTAGAAATGGGAACAAAGGGTATGCACTATC